TTAATCACTAAATAGCGAGCACTATTTTAAAATCTTTATTAAAATTAGAATAAGTTTTATAATATTTTTTAAAAAAAATCAAAATTAATAATTCCGATCTTACGCTGATGGTGTTCTAGACAAGAGTCTGATATTAAAATTTCTATAAACTTGAATCGATACACATGTTATCATATTAAACTGTAACAATCATAGGCCTTCATCCATTACTACTGTCTTTATTTGAGAAGAAATTTCACAGAATGCACGATATTAATTTTTTTAAAAAATTATTAAAGTTTTTAATTAAAAAACTAAAGCATTGATGTGTTGTTAATTAAAAAAAAAAAAAAAAAGAAAATTTCATTTTCCAAGAGAGATATTGGGAATCACATTGCATCAGCGAAGATTATATTAACAGAAAATCTAAACTTTTTTTTTTATATATAAAAAAAGAAAATAGAATTAAAAATAACAATAAATTCCTAATTTAAAATTAAATAAAATTATAAAAATAATGAAATAAGTACACCAAGGTTCGAAAGACAAAGTGTATGATTAACATCATGGACAAGCAAAGAGAGTAACGAAAGTCATTACCAAACAAGGAAGTGTAGGAAACGAGCACCGCTGGAATGTTGACTTTCTAAAACCTCACCTCTCTTTTTCAAAGCCTAATTTGTCAAAATTGCAATTGGTGGGTTCATGCTCAATTTAAAGATTTTTAATTTTAGCAGCCAAAATTAGGGTTGTGCAAAATCAAACTCGACCCAAAAATAAATTCAAATTAAACTTGTTAATTTTGGTTGGAGAATTAAAGAAATTGATCTTTTGATTATTTTGTCCTAGTTGATCAATTTTGAGATTTCCTTAAAAACTTCAATTGACTTTTTGCCTTCCAAATTCCCAAAAATTAAAAAAAAAAAAAAATATTATAATCTTCTTTCCAGCAATTAAGGTTTCTACTTTAAAATAGCATGGTGAGAAGTGTCTCTCTTTGTTATTCCATTTATGTTTTTGTAGTCTCGTAACCCATTTATGATATGATATGATATGATACTCAAGTATCTGATAATTCACTCATACCACCTTCATAGAGTAAGATCAGAAAAAATTTAAACCTTTAGGAGATTTACTGATGGCCATTCACTATATAACCATAATTTTACAATGAACATGGGAACATTGATTTGTGCAAAGTTTCTTGAAGGATGGATTATGGATGTAGAACTTTAACCAAGATGATTCATAATAATTAGTCCTGATTCAACTAACTAATAAAGCCACGACCAAATTGGCTGATCAAACACAAAACTACATGAATTTGCAGCCATGTCATCATGTCCGTAAGTAGAATCACCTTCCATTTTCAAAAACCACTGTGGCTGCAAAAGGCTCTTGCTGAGATTATTATCATCTTCATCCTGTGAAAAATCAGAATGATCTGCTTCAAAAACATGAGAAGAATCAGCAGGTTCTCCGAGTGATGACTGATTTCCATCGGTGTAATGGGGACTATCCGAGTCAAAAACATCACTTTTAGCCGAGCTTACATCTTCCTGTTTAAGGGTCATCATTAATGGCAGATTAGGTTCATCTTCATTTGATAGGTTAATTTCCTGATCAGCTGGCTCCAGGTTTTTTTCCTTCATTTTGTCTTGGTGAATCAACTTATTTTGAATTGAGACGAGCTGGGTAATATAAAAAAAAGAAGCCATTGGCATCAAAGAAACAAACTTCAAAATGTTATTGAACATTATCAAATTAGTAATGGTGAAAGGAAGCTTACTTCTTGTTTCAAAGCTTCGTTTTCTTTGAGGAGTTTATCATGATCGGCCTTGAGTTTATCAAAGCTAGCTTTTAATGAATCATAGTCTCTTTCGAGTTGCTTGTTCTTGAACCGAGCCCGGCGGTTTTGGAACCAAATGGCGACTTGGCGAGGCTGCAAGCCAAGTTCTTTGGCGAGCTGGAGTTTCCTCTCTGGTTCGAGCTTGTTCTCAACTTCAAAACTCCTTTCCAGGAACTGAACTTGGGTGGCTGTTAGCCGTCGTTTCTTTCCCGGCGGATTCAAGCACGTATCATAATCCTCATCCACATTTTCTTCTCTATCCATTGCTTGAAAAAACCCTGCATCAATGGCTTCTCCTTCTGTCACTTTCTCAAAATCAACCATGGATCTTGACCCTGAAGAAAATACAGAGACACCCAGAAAAGTTAAAAAAAAATCAATTCTCAAACTCGATGACTAACGGTAAAGCAGCTGAATTTAACAAAAGTGAAGGATTAATTCCAAAAGCACAAAAAATGAAGTAAAGTCAAGGTGAAGAGAGTACAGAACCCCACAGTTTAGTGAACCCTAAAGTGGGAATTTAAGTAAAAGATTCCAACTTTTCTTTTTCAGTATGATTACTGGTAAATGGTTATTCTGATATGGGAAACCCATTGGAAAAAACAAGGTCACAACTTTTGGTAAATAAGCTTTTTGAAACGCCATGAACTGATCGAGTAAATCCAATACAGCACAAAACAGTGATCATAATAAGAAAAACAAAGAGAAAAACATATTTTATTACTTCGAGATCTCCAAGAACCAGATAAAACCCATGATTCGAAGTTAAAAAATAAAAGGGTAGAAGACAACAATCCCAAGAAGAAAAGATAAAGCAAACAACAGAGTGATTTCCCACAATAACTAAAAAATTAAAGGACCCAGAAAAAGAGAAACAAAAATGAGAAATTTACCATGAAGATTAGAGGAAGTGGGAATCCATAGAGACTCAAGTAGTTGAGGAGAAGAAGGAAGCTTTTCATTTTGAAGGAAAAGAGCCATGTTGGGATTGCCGCATACTTTTATACCTGCCATGGCTTCTGAGCTATGGATACTGTAAAAATTCCCAGAAATTTTAAAAGGTCATACTTTTGGGTGAAGAAGCAATTATAATGTATTTCACTTTCAGATTGATCTACAAGGCTCTGGCTTCCACAAAGAGAAGTCTTTGGATTACTTATAGTTATTATAAATGTAGGAGTGCGAGCGCCAGAAGAGTCGCAGTCGGCAAACAGGACGTTAAGGTTAACCAGAAGAGAAAGGTACGGCTTGAAAGCGAGAAGCAGAAGGAGGTTTCTTCTTCAGTGAGTAGTTGGAAATGGGAAGAGATTGAAACGACTTCGTTTTCTGTGTTGAACAGAGAACTTGAAAGCTGAAAACTAGAGAGTGAGAGAGAGAGAGACAGAGAGAGAGAGAGAGAAGAAAAAAACAGAGAGATTCTCCTCTGAGGTGGATTGCTTGATGGGGGTTATAACGAGGCTCCATGAAAGGACAGGGGACTTTGCTTTTTTTTTTTTTTTTTCTTGGGAGGGTAGATAGATGTTTGAAGTTACCAAAATACCCCTCTCCTCTGCCACAACCTACAAGACTATGGTAGTACATGTTTTTGCAGGGTACTCGTTATTTATTGATATTTTTATTTAAAAAAATAAAATACTATTCTTTAAAATATATTTATTTTCAAATTATGAAGAAACTAAACGCTATTAGATATTTTCTCTTAAGATCATAATAATTTATTAGAAAAATATTTAATTCAATTATTAAAATTTTATTAATACATTATTAAATTAAATATTATAAATTAATTTCTAATACATATAAATAATAAATTTAAAACACTCATCACTTTTAAAGAAAATATTAATATCTTAATTATTAAATTAATGCATGAATAATATTAAAGTATTTTTATTAAAAAAATAATTTTATACCTCAATTCTTTAATCATATTATAATTTCATTTAAATATTAAAATTTAAAAACTTTACGGAGGAAAAGCAAAAGAAAGAAGATAAATTAAATAATATTTGTATTGTTTGCTTAAAAGTTGTGAATGATTTTAGATAATGCTTCTTAAAATAAGATTAATGGCAGAGGAAGAACAAATATTTTAATTATTATTTTATTTTATCCTTAAAGTTATCAGTCTTTATGTTATAATCATTCCTAACCTTTTTATTTTTCAAATAATTTTAATATCAAACACTTCGATTGTGCTTATGTAGTTTACTTTTTAATTATATATATTTTTATATAAATAAAAGATGTAAATAGTAATTATCAAAAATAATAATTATGATAATAACATTTATTTTTAATAACTAAATATAGTTTTCCATTTAAATAATTAGATAGGTATCACAATCAAAATTATTTAATAAAATTTTATCCAAATTAATAAGAAGTCTTGTTTTCTTGATATTTTATGTGCAAAAAGGTGTTTCATTTATTATTGAAGAAAATATCTTCTACATGTTAAAACAACCTTTTAAGAAAATTTATTTAGCTAATAAGATTGCGGGGCGGGTCTATAATTTGATTATCGATAATCAAATTATTATCGTAAAAAATGATATGACTAGAATCGAAATTAAAATCGATCATACAAGAAAAGAATATATTTTTTCAAATAAACAAAAATGAATATTCATAAGCTTAAAACTAATAAACTAAAATAAAAAATAAAAAAAATTTAATAAATTTATATTCACAAAAATTAAACTATAACATAAAATTATATTTTACCTTTTTTTTTTTTTTTTTTCTGGGTTTCACAATAAAAGAAAGTTGGTATATATAATTGGTGTATAAATTTTGGGGAATGATTAAACTTCATATTTATCTTG